AAAGCTTCTCACACTGTGTACGATTTGGTAAAATACGGGTCCACGACGATGGCTTGAGCGAGTGCCTCAAAATATCAAGATACTAAGAATATGTCTACGCACAGTTTATTAATAAAAACGCACGAATGATAAAGAGTACATCACAATACCAATCAAGAATCATTAAGATTTTGAATCAAAATCTTCGTTCTTGAAAAGAATTGCTTCTTTTCTCAAAGGTTCACCTGTCTATGAATAAAGTTTACGGCCTACCTACAGATGAGGTTGGAATTTAGAGAAAAGTTCACACTTTTCATTACACTTCGTAATTAGTTTATATTAGTTGCATTTGATAGTATAAAATAGAGCTGCATTAAAATTTTATAATCTTTTTAAGCAGGTAGGCTTCGACAGTGCACATGAGCTCGCTGTGTCCAGTTCGAAGCCCGCTGCGCATTTATCACTGCCGGTATATCACTAATCCTCATTAATTACTACGCAATTTTAAATCTCATTATTGTCGTCCAAATCGGTCTGGCATCGATTTTTCTCAATGTGTGCAGATGCCACGGGTGGATCGCATATATTATCGCCGCTGCGTACTCAGGTGACACGTACAGTAGCCACGCTTTAGTTGTTTGAGCCGGGATGACCAAATTAACGCTTCTGACGTGTAACATTTAAGTTATTATTGATGGATAAGTAATCATTGTATGCGTGGTTTATAAAAATCGATCAATAGTATCGAAATATTTACGTTTACGGTCAAGTCGCTCAGAAATTATACGATCTCTAACAAAGGTACTGCATAGAGATTAAATTTCTAACATTAAACCTGATCGACAGAGAAACAGATTTATTCTTTTTTACTCTGAACGAATTCACAAAACTTGCTTTATGGATAATTAGCTAAAGTTAATATAGTAATATAGTTAATAGAGGATTGTAAATAGTGCTTTATCTATCCCATTGGGTAGAAACCTGTCATGTTAGATATGAGTTGAATGTAAATAAATAAATAAAATAAAAATGAATATTTAATGATATACATATGAAGTTAATTTTGTATTATAAAGACAATTACTGTCGCGTTGTTTGTTGTTTAAATGTTATTTGTTTTTTAATTATCTATATAAAGAAATAAAATTGTCTGTATGTAATGTCAAAATAACAGCTTTTTACTAAATGCATATGAAAGTAAATAATTATAACAAAAATACAATTTTGAAATTTTTGGCTCTCTGTCTGTCTGTGTGTTTGTTCCGGCAAATCTTCGAAATGGCTAGATCATTTTGACGGGACTTTTACTGGCAGATAGATATAACTATTTATACTAACTAACTAATATGTAAGTGTTAATTAACTTAGGCTATTTTTATTTTAGAAAACGAATTTGGGTTCAGTGCAAAAAAATTAAACCCCATAAAATCCAATCACAATAATTCCACGCAGACAAAGTCGCGGTCAACAGCTAGTATTTATATATAAAAAAAGAAAAAAAATTAAAATTAAACGCGATAAAATCCGTAAAAGTAGTTTTAATCAATGTGCAGGTGTTTGCGTAAATATAAGAAATCATTAGTATTGTTACGCGCTCAAGTCGACGGCACTAGCGCCATCTAGTCTCGAACCGAAGAACTAAACTTCTTGAAATTGAAACACGAACTCTCGGTACCTTGCGCGTGTTTACTTGAATATTCTGGATATTTCGCTGCTAATTTATATAAATAGGCGCTGCAAGATGCGATCGAGGAAGTATTGGATTTGGCGAGACAAGCGAAGCTTCGGAGCGGAATAAAGTGAATTAGTGTGTTTAATTATTAGTGTTTTAAGTTTTAATTTGTGTAAAGTAAATTAAAGTGTTAATTGAGGTAATTTTATCGGCAATTTTTATTGTCACGAACCTCAAGCTCGTAACAGTATTTATATCTTACTATTCATAAATCCAAGCTCGTTTGTCTCACATTACACATAATGTTTGGCATCACTACACCACAGTAGGCGTACGTCCGTATGTCCATCGTATCGCATTGGCGCAAATTAATGAGGGTGGGATATTTATTTCAGGGTTTCGTTTGCCGATGCCAGCCAAAATATCAATTCACCTCTCGATCAAAGTACATACGTATAAATGTACGTCAGATGATATGCAAATGTTCAGTCCGTTGGGGATAATGCAGTAATGAGCTCATTAAGGTTGTTGTACTACTAAAAGTTGAGGTTGGAAACGGTTCGGCTATTTATGTTCTCGACAAAGGAGAAGCTTTTAATAGCTTACTGCGATTGGTGACGCCCGCGTACAAGCGTCAATCTACCATAATACATAACACAATATATGTCTTTGAAAAGAGAATGTTACCAACATTAAGTTTAAGCTAATTTTAATTTATATTTTTTTTTTTAAATTAATTGTAAGCTATACTTGAACAATTAGTGTTCCGTACCGTCACCACGTGAATTATTTCATATCTAAATTACTACTTTTTTATAAAATTGTAGTCACAATCAAGTTAAAAGTCTAACATTAAATCTAACAATAATTTTCTTACAATAAAAAAGTAAAGTTACAGCATATATTCGTCCTACTGCTGAGCATATTACTGGTATAGTTGTAGCACGAATGGGTCAGCTCAACCGGGGAAGGATCTCACAGAATACCAGCATCAAATAGTAGCTTAATGCTGCTGTGTGTCGTTTGGTGAGTGTAGAGATCCGGAGACACCTTTACTTTACGTTTACTAGAAACTAGGCATTCAATCTAAGTTCTCATGGGTGGCAACGCATCTGCATTTTGATTCATTATCGAGGATAGATTTAGATGTCTATGGGTCACAGCAACCACTTACCATCAGGTGGACTGTGTGCTCATTTGCCACCCTTATAGTATAAAATATGAGTACGGGTACCGAGCACCGATGAGCAAGTGGGATTAAAGTAATATACTTACACTTAAACCATGGAAATAATATATAACAAATATAATGTGTGCATTCAAAACATGCTCTCAAATTAGTGTTTCATCATAATACTGTGTATTGATTTCAAATCGTTTGAAAAACGTGTTACTCCCGCTGACGGCAACACCCATCGATCGGCAAACCAACAACCTTTGTGAAGGTTTTAACCCTTAACTGGTATCGTAAATTTGACATACGTAACTGGTATCGTGGTATGTTTGCTTCTAGCAACTAAGTTTTAACTATGTACTTGAATAAATGATCAGAAATAATAAATAATAGGCTTATTTTACGTAATCAAATAGTTTTTATTAATATAAACATTTTGGTAATATTTTTTCTACGTTACAAATATTAATGAAAATTATAGTTTTAAGAGTTAAAATCAAAATTTACATTATTTTACTTAATCTATTATACGTAAACTAAAAAACAAATAACGTTTTATAATCTCTAATCAAAATTTCACAAAAATCAACACGAAATAAATCACTTTTAATCTTAAGGCTCAAAAATACTAATATGAAACTTTGGTTCCGTCTAGACAATTATCACATAGTGTTTTTGTGCTACCATGGACCTTGCAAATGAATTGTGAACAGTTATTGCACTTTGTAGCAAGTTTCCCATCTTTTTTCTATCACATAAGTGACAACGTCCCCTTTTCAAGGCGTTTGGCTTAGAATAGCAATACTAGACGTCGAGGGTAATGGTGCCATGTTAGCTGCTAAGAAATTATTCAATTTTATCACGCAAATCTCTTGGGTACTTCAAATACTCAGCTTTTCTGTTTATGATATGTTCTTTGATGAGTTCTATACCAACAGATTTTATGTAGTCCTTTCGCTTCATCTTTTTCCCAGTATTTGAACCTTTCCACAACACATAACCGTTTACACAAGCAATATTTAGAATACCAGCAAATACTACACTTGGCCAAGGTCGTGTTCTGCGAGTTACTGAGTAATTAGCGCATTTGTCTCTATATCAATATATACAACTTCACCTTTGGTGGAGTTGTAAAACTCAGTAATCTCCGGTTTCTTTGTACGTTCATTAACACTTTTGTCATGATGCATTGAAGACATCATTATAACGCTTTGATTTTTTTTGGTACAAAAGAACATAGTGTTATTCTAGCTGTAAATCCAAAAAGAGAAGAGTCTTTTTCTCTATGCTTATGTGGTTGGAATTCAGTTGGGATTTCACGTTTATTTTTTCTCAAAGTCCCGACGTAGGTCAAATTTTTTTCGAGTAATGCATCAACTAACTCCACCGAGGAAAACCAGTTATCTGCTGTTATGTTTCTGTTTGATTCAAAAAGCGGGGGAAGCCAATTGTAGTATGGATTGTGTAGGAATAGATGGTTGACCTCTGATGCGTTCCCGCTGTTTGCCGGTATATACGAAAGCGTTATATAAATAGTGAGTCTTAGCATCACACAAACATAATATTTTGATACCGTATTTAGCAGTCTTTGATTTCATGTACACCCTGAAAAGACATCGGCCTCGAAATTGACAAATCATTTCGTCAATTGTAATATATTCTGAGCAACTGTAATTTTTCTGACAGTTTTCTATGAACTTATCAAATATTTCAGAAATGAGTGCTGCGCGGCCTACAGCTTTTCGCTCCTCTCTCGATGGAATATCATCAAACCGAAGATTTGACAAAATAAATAAAAATCTCTTGAAAGACATAGTAGCTCGAAAGATGTCACGACCTGTTCCGTCTGTAGCCCACAATGATTCTACGTCTTCATGTCCTGATTTGAACACTCCTGTCAACAGCAAAAGACCTATAAAAGCTTTCATCTCTGTTACTGACACGTGGTTCATCCAAAATGCATCCGTAGTAGTCTTTTCCGAATTCTCAGTAATCTTCTCGGTTGTGTAGTTGTTTATAATTTGTGTAATGTTATCATCAACTAGCAATTCAAACGATTCTTTGGTACTAATATAACTTTTAGATGCAGCTGGACCAATCAAACCAGGTCTTTGAGCGATAACATTGTGTCGACGAATACGTGAAGGTGCTGGTGGGTTTTTAGACCACTTGTATTTATTTTTCCCATAGTTCCCAGTTCCCATAGTTCCCATAGCTGCTGGACTGACTAGGCCCTGCAACATTTTCATTTTTACTTCCTGAGGAAGACGCATCCGTATCAGAATCCACGTCTTGATTATCGTTCAATAAATCAAGTGATACTGTATCTTCACAATTACTTATTACTTCACTATCACTACAACATTCTTCTTCAGGCCTGCTACCAATCACTGACTCGGAATCAGAATGTTCGTGATTTTTCGTCGATCGTTCTTTTATTATTTTATCACTCAAAGGCCGCGACATTTTGAATTAATAACTGTAAAAAATAACAAACATATAAAAATTGCTATGCAAAAAAACTTACGTAACTGGTATCGTGGGGGCCGCGCGGACCCCAACACGTGCATACCTGGGTCCCAGTAAGTGATACAGCACCGAACGTCTTACGTCCGGCACCCGCCGCGAATATCGATGTAATGAGAATACTTAAAATGGCGGCTGCTCACGATGCTTAGTTTATTAAAACATCAAGAAAACGTCATGGATTTATGTAAGCGCGCATCGAATGTCATCATAACCTTGGGTCGCGTTCAACTTTACGTCTATAGCAATAATCACATTATCACATCACTAAAGCCCATCAAAAGTCCAGCGCTGAACAAAGTCTCCATAGACAGTCTCTTAGGGAATAATTGCCATAGTTGCCACGCTTGGTAAGCGAGTTCGCCACCAAAGATTTTTCTTATTTTAAGTTGTTGTCACGACGATGCTGCTGTCCCCATCCTTTTCCATTTCTATCTGTCGCGTCTAACGATATCCACGGAATGATATGATGTAGGTTTTATTATATGCGCCGGAACTGAACAACACCAGTAATAGAAATGATTAACTACAAATGACTCAATAGCTGTTTCGATTGCCGACTTTATACGTTAAAATTGTTAATAAATACTTTGCTTCAAACAACTGAGTACTTCAAGATTCATTAATTTGTACACGGTACGCATCAAGATAGGTTTCCCCTTTTCCCACAAAGCCAATCCTTTTAGTAGAAAATTCCAAATTTGTACCGCATAATATCTGTATTAATGCTTTTCACAACTATGTCAAATTTTCATTATCTACATGAAACACTCAGAAAATAATATGTGACAGACAAATTGACACGGAGATGATCCGATAAATGTCCTATTTTGCTTAATTTCACACAAAACAATGTTAACACAAATGTGAATATGTGAGACTTAAAAATCAAATGACGATTACACCCGGAAATGGTTTACTTTGTATGTAGTATATAATAGTGTAGAACACATTACTTGAAGTAGAAGCCAGGCAACAGTGTTCTATGTTGTGTTTAGTACGGTAAGTAATTGTTACTGAAGACTCTTCATACCGGGCAAGGGGCATTTCATCTTAGATCTACGAGTTTATAGACCTCAGTGGTCGGACATTTCCACATTTTGATTCTTTATATAGAATAGATATAGATATGTCTGTAGGCTTCAGTATTCACTTTCCATCAGGTGCTGTCTGCTAGTGCATCACCCTCACATATATATCAAAATATAATAAGTTAAATAAAGTTAAAGTTACAGCCTATATTATACGTCCCACTCCTGGGCACAGGCCGTCTCTCATTTCTGAGAGGGAGGGTTAATTGTAAATAAGTATTTAAAGTTATTTCAAAATTAATCAATTTTAATTGATGAGTGCATCTATTGAAATGATTTCTTGATTTTTATTCTTTTAGTATAATGCTAGTATAAAAATGATTACAAAAATAAACAATGTGTAATTTATGCTCCTTTTATACGTCGTTGTTCGTCAAAATAATAATTTTATATTAAAAAAAAAACACATTTCATGAATACAACTTAAAATTAGGATGAATAAAATATGTCTAATATTTAGTACTATTTTAAACAGTACGTATTATTAAAAGCTTCTTATATTTGTACATTAAAATACATAGCAAAAAAAGGACTTATCTATCAAGATAAGAACAGAGTAGAAAACTGCAATTTAGTGGACGATATAAATGAAATTAAAAACAAAAAAAAAAAACACTTCGTTCACATAATTATCTCTGTTTTATAGCTGATGGACGCAAAATAAAATTACAGTGTAAATATGCCAGTGTATAGACAACTAAAATGGATTTTCATACGTGCACAGCGTAATTCAAATCACGAGTATGATATTACGCACTTTCAATACAGCCTTATAGAAGATATTGAGCGGAACTAAGGTTCCAGTCTTCGTCAGAGATCTGCCTGCGATAATATCGAACTGTCAATGTCAAAGACCGATTGCGACAGCGTAAATCATGGATGAAAGGAGATTTTGAATGAGATTTGGAGGCTATACGGATAGTCGAAGCAACACGTGAATCTCATTCGATACTATGCCATTTATGTGCTGGACGTAACACTGAGGGATGATGAATGACTGTCCAAAATCTATTAATACAGAAGATCAAAGCAAGCAATCTGCTTTTTATCTATTGTGGCGCGTATGTGGATAATGATACCTTTAAATTTGGGCAATGCCAAAGTTTATTCAGCAGCAGTAATTGTATGTCCTAAAGTCTTTCAAGCTAAAAGACTGAAAGAATACAGTAATAATGTCAACGGCTAATTCATTTCTCATCTTCGATTCGCTGTCATTAAAAACGGCATAATGCATTAAAATTGATAAAATCTCAATTCAAATTGGCATAAGAGATCATAGCACTATACTACAATGGTACCTACCAACGATCTGCACGTAGAGTAGGTACGGGCTATTTTCTTACCAGACCTTCTCAGTATAGTACACTACTGTCTCAGTATAGCATGAACATGGTTGAGATAAGGAATACTACGAATTAATTTAACCATCCATGCCAAACACTTGTAACAAAAACCAATTTATGTTGTGTGTGCAATAGACAGAAACCGAGGTGATTCCATAAAAGTTGAAATTGGCATGACACACAGAAATGTGATTTTATTAATTTCCGTCATTAGTTTCCACTTTAAATACAATGCAATGATTTAAGTGGTAGAGCCATGTTGCAGCTATATTAGTAGTACAGTTGTAGCTCGTATGGGTTGGTTCAAAGGGGGTAGGAGGACGCTCTCACAAAATACCAGCGTAAAATAGCAACTTAACGCAGCTGTGCTTCGTATGGTGAGTGTAGAGAACCGAAGACCCTTTACACTGCGAAGGAGACATTCTATCATAGTCCTCACGGGTGACAACGCAACTGTATTTTCATTCGTAATCGAGGATAGACGTAGATCTTTATGAGCCATAGCAACCACTTACCATCAGGTGGACTGTATGTTTGTTTTTTCACGCTTATTCTATAAAAATGCAAATACATTTAAAAACATAGTGTTTATATTTACAGTTATGGATATTTGACATAACAGGATATCATATTGAAATATCGCATGTTTACGTGCGGTGTCAAAGTAAGAGAAATCATCACGCTTTCTTCAAAAAGCTCCGAAGGATGCAGAGATATATGTATCAAAGGTGAAATTTAAGCTGAGGGTGTGGCAACCAAAAGTTGCCAGACATTTCTGGTTCCTAAATCGTGATTACTACTGTCAATATGAAATCTGTCAAAGCTGTGATAGAGATTATCGCAAATCGTCGCTGTTAGCGAAGGTTAATTTAAGGCACATGAGAGTAGTCGTTTGTTTACAAGTTTCAATTACATTACATTTATTGAGTATAAAAAGTAAGACTTTAAAATGTGTGGCATTAATTAAATGGCAACTTGATGACTTAAAAAAGAAACACAGTGTGTATTTAGAGTTTTATTTTATAAAATTATTTCTGCTACAAATAAACAGAAATGGATTAACGACAAGCGGAAATCACAAATCAATTGCTACGCAACTTAGATTAATGGTTTTAAACACTGTAACATTTTATTATTGCACTAAATGGTTTTTTAAATGCGATGAACATTTAACGAACTGTAAACAGAAAAGGTTGTAACAAAGATTAATTTTGAAAATTTAAAATGACGTTTGCATTTCCATGAAAGGATCACAGAATCTAATGATTATTTTCACAACCGTTTTTATTTAAATTTTAAAATTTACATTCATATCTGTTTACTGTTACTACGCCATGTTAAAATATTATAAAGTAAATAACATACTTTTTAACTTAGTAGATTCGAACAATAAATAAATTCAATTCTCATTTTGCAAAAAAATATTTGGTACTTTTACCGATACTTGCAGTGTTAATACTTATAAATTAGGAAATAAGACTTAAAGTAAAACGTTAATATTGTGTAAATTTTCTTTCATTAACCAGAAACAAATAGCAACAAACGAAGCTATTTTTTATGAATTAAAATGTAATTTAAATTTAAGTAAATAATTTAAAAGTTAGTTTCGTTATCAGGACATTAACTAGAAACAATAAAACTCATGATAATATTATAATTTCCGAACCATCAGCTATTAATAAATATCTACAAATGGACAGACTTCATATAACCAACAGATAATGTATCTTATAAACTAATTCTGTATACATCTACTCAACTTTATAATTGCAAAACTATTGCACTTTACAAGATGCATTTACAACAACTTATTTACAATTGTTAATTTTACATTAAGAAAAAAAAAAACAGAATACATTACATAATCTTTGGCTTTGATTTTATTTAACGTAACGTTAAACGTGGACATTTGAAATAAAATAATTTTACAATCAACGGTTGTTATCGCATATTTGCAAAAAAATCGCTTTAAATTAATTTTAAATTCAGAACTTCTGCTTGAAATGGACTTTTTGGTTGTTTTAAGATATTAGCAACATAAGATGAAAACAAGTGATGTAGACGAGGTTTTAAAATGTATATAGTGTGCTGGCTCATTACACAAAAATAAAACTAGTCATATTTCACAATATTTAATTTTGTTTTAATACCAAAATTAAAAAGTAAAACTTTCAAACTAAATATATATTTATAATTTTTTTGTAAATATGTATTTTTAATTTTTTTAAATGAATAACACACTATGTTTATTATATTGAAGGAATTAAGAGCAGAGACGTAGCTTTCTTTATTTTGTAGGTGTAGTCACAGATTAATATAATAGATATAAGTAACAGCTTATTGAATCTTCGCCTTCGCCTTGTGAAAAGTGATTTAGCTACATCATGTGTACAATTTATATTTTAAAATAATTGCTGAATATAATATTTCATTTATTTTTATAAATGATAAGAATGCTGTACACTTTTAGTATCTAAGTCATTTATTGTAAGGATCCCTGCCCATGCCCCACTCTGTATACACCCATTTGATAAAAATAAATAAATTATAGTAATATAAATACAAGACTTTTGCAAGTAGGTAGCTGGTGTTTCTAAATAGTCATTCTTTATTTATAGTTACTAAGTTATTGAAAATTAAATATTTTTTTTAGTTCTGTACCTACACTTTGCTCTCATTTTGTTAAAATCAGGATCAGGTCAGAGGTTAGGGATAGCTTTTTATTGAGAAAACTGTTAAATATCAGTAATTATTACCATTTATAAATTAATTTTTTTGCAATTAAATTAAGTATTTTATTAGGTTTTTAAATTAAAATTACTAAGTTGAATTAAAAATACCTATTTGAAAAGAAAATCCATTGCCATATTTAAAGTCATGGTTACCAATAATTATACCTATTTAGACAAAAATCGTATAATTTTAGGACGGGAACAAATTTTCGTAAAAATAAATTGACAAAATTTTACTATTCGATAAACGCTTATTTATTTTATATTTTACACGAATAATTATAATATCTATTTCGTTGCACTAGGCCTAAATGAAAATCATTTTCAAAAAAAAAACATTTTAATCACTTCTAATAACAAAATATGTCCAACTTACTGATAACTTTTTGTTTTTCTATGACCTAAAATAACTAGGAGCATGAGGTATTGACATTATTTATTCAATTTGTGCCGGCAATGTATTATACATTAATTTTACAATAAATATATCTTTAGTATGGTCGCCAAACAGTGTTACTATCTGGTTGTGGGTTGCCACGTTGTCCTAGGCTGTTCACTCTACCATCTTCTCCTCTAGACGCTGCCGCAGCACAAGAGTTACCACCGCCTAATAACAAATCACCATGCCCATGGTTCCCATGTTGTCTGTGGTTATTAGTGGTCGAAGATATCTGATCCATCATAGTTTGTAATTCGTTGTGATGGTTTTGTGTTGAATGATGTATCGAATTCGAATGCAATGAATGAAAATTATGAGTTTGGTTTGCCGCCGTATACAATTGACTGTACAATAAACTAGCTGGAAGTACGGGGTACAGTGAATTGTTGCAGTTGCTTCCGCCGTACGAGGCGTTCTGTGATCCCATTAGTGAGGGAAAGTTAGAACTATTCGTGTGGTTGTGGCCGATATTGTTAGACGTATTGGAAGTTAATAAATCGTCTTGTACAGGTGATTCAGGCTGCGAACTATTGTCGCTTAACGATCTTGGCCCCGTCGATAAGCCGTAGTCAGCGTTATTGTTATATCGTGGCAAGAGACTACCGTGGTGTGAAGGTGAGGAGCCCACGAGTCCAGACAGCTGCTGATCCAAGTCCACGCCAGTTGTATCAGGTAATACTGTACAGAAATGACAAATAATTTAATTTATAATTTCTAAACAGCTGACAGCTGTGTTTATTAAAACATAACATAAGAGAAAGGATTGATCGAGACATTTAAGAAACTATTCAGAATATACGATGATTTAAAAAGAGAAAAAAATAACGAAAGTTAAAAAAAACATATCACTTAAAATGTTTCTTTACAAGTTGTTCAGTTTTATTAAAAATTTCATTTCTTGAAAGAAATAAAAAATAAGCTTTTGGGAGCTTTTTGAAACTCATTAAAACACAATCACTAAAGTTACGTAGTGTATAAACTTTATGTTGTATCTTCCCAAGTATTTGAATGGACTGCCATGTTGTTATACGTCGGCTATCAATCGATTACTAAATTATACGTTACATTTTTGACAAATAAAAGCGCTAGACAATATTTCACCAATAGATTCTAACAATTTACGAGAATTATAAAGAGCTTGTTAAAATTTTTAAATTCATTCATAGGATATACTCCGTAATATAATATTAAATATATCATTAGCTGTAGACGTCATCTTGTGCAGTGACTATTAGCTTGGTATTAATTGTCACATTAATAAAAAGTAGAATTCAATTTTAATGTATTGGCTGTTTTTAACTAAGCTGTATCAAAGAGGATAGCTTTAGATCAGCTAAAATATTAAATATGGCAAGCATCATTATTATTCTAAAAGTTATTGCATTTGGTTGAATGCTGATCTTCAAAAATACTAGCCGTTAGATATTTGGGCTGATAAAACTATGGAGCTGCTACATTTGTATTATAATTTAGATAAGTATGGACTGTAGATGCATCTTTTAGATTTTAATTGAGATTTATGCTCTAACGCGGGAATGACCTGAAAATACATCGACTTTTAAGACACACTGACAATATATTCTTTTGAAATGCTACTGCGTGTTTGTATATTTTTAATACGACGCTATATTTTTCGTGTCGCGGAGTGGGCACGCATCGGCAATAAATTCATCGGCCGGATCGGACGTGTCCGAGTCGCAGTAAATTATAATGAGAGCTGGTTTAATGTCCACTGGTACAACATTGACCATATGATTTTGAGGAGCATATCGCTCGTAAACGATGTAGGTGCGTTTAATTTCACCATTCTGGTGTAATGAATTATGGTATATTGCCTTAATTGCATTTTATCAGTGAGAAAGTACAAAAACAAACAAATAATGCATGCTGTAATTGTTTTTGTAATAGCTAAACAATTACAGTAAGCAGTAAAAAACATAATACTCCAAGTGCAGTCAAAGGCCATTGAAATAAAATACTTAAAGTGTAACAAAGGGTATATAAATAGAAATTAGTCTAACAAATTTCGCCCTGTTCTAACGTTATCAATAATTTCTTTAAAAATATTATAAGGCTGGTAAAAGTAAAAAAAGTTGGCTCTTATTTATAGTAATTATATTGTATTGTTATTTATTATTGGAACCTGGCTCTATTTTCATTTTGACTTTTGAAAATGTTTAATTTTTTGAAGATTCCTTATTAGTTACCTTTACAGCCTATTAAAGTCAACTGCTGAACATAGACCTCCTGATGGATTGCCCTATATGGGGGATATTTGCCATAGTTGCCACGCATGGCAAGCGGGATGGCAACCACAGTTTTTTTTTGTTTTTAGTCCTTATAAGGAAAACGCTGCTGCCCATCTCCTGATTTGTTCCTCTCTGTTACCTCTTACGACAGCCACGGGATGATATAGGGTAGTGGATACTCTTAAACTGCCACTACATGGCATCATTATCATCATTACAACCCTTCACAAGTCCACTGCTGAACATAGGCCTCCCCCACGGAATGCCACAAAGCGAGGTCCTGAGCCACCTGCATCCATCGGCATAACAAAGCCAATATACTAAACTATAAATATTCTAAAATTGTCTTTCATTATCTAACCATGGCACGGTATTAATAACAGAAACAGAAACAGATTTTTTTTTTTAAATTCAATATGCATTATAAATAATACTTATTGAGTCACTTTTGTTTTCATTTACCACTGGTTCGCAAAAAAAAAACCTGTGTCCTGGGAAGAACCAGCAAGAACACCAGCGGGACTATTTTTTTATAATAGCTTACAATCATGTATGTTACAATTAACAACACATAACAAATAAGAAATAGCTTGGTTGTAATCACCGATAATGTAGCGATAATAGAAAAAATAAAGTAATAACCTATATAGACCACACAACTGGTCATCAGTCTCAGCACTGCGCTGCTAATAAGCTTGGCAGTTTTCCCATGAAAATTACAATTTATTTAATTACCTGTGTTATTAGAAGTAAAGTCTTGCGTGGGCGTCTGGTCAGACACACTCCCTGCAAAGCCGAGGGCAGGTGGATTGAATTGAGTCGCGCCGGGCGCCGCACAAGACGGCAAGTACGCCGGATATGCGCTAGCACTCCCGTATCCCCAATGCGAATTACTCGAACTTAGTCCAAATTGACTCATATCTGTGAAAGGCCTTTCATTAAAACGACTGTGAAATCTGGTCTACAAGGAGGAAAAAACAGGATAAGATTTAAATATCTAAAAATACGAGAGTAAACTATAATGTACGCCTAAATTACACGGATCGATATTCAAAGAGTTCAATTAATTGAAAACATTTCGAAGCTTCAAAATTAAAGCTACAATCGCTCTTATAAAGATATCGAGTCCAGTCAACTCGCTACAGAACGCCATCCGCACGTTCCGTCCACTTTATTTTTTCCAGGAGCATTACGGGCTTTTATTTTTCGGTATCACGGTTCCGTTTTTGGCCGGCGATCGGTGGAGTCGGTTTTTATACGATATGCGCACGGCGCGTCGATTTGTGAATGTTTTTTCACGTTTCGAGTTGTTTTGGTGCATCGTGGATTTTAGCGGGCCGGCTGCGTGCTTGTTCTATTGCCGATTGCATTCGGCCTTTTTGTTGGACTGATTGAATCTGAGCTTTAGTGAACATAGTTTAGCGTATCGCAGTTTGGTGACTCATTCACTTTTGAACGATCACCGGCATTTATAAGGTTTGAATGTCGAATAGCAATTTGGATTTGATTCGGCGTGTTATGGCTTTCCGGCTTACCAATTTATATGGCTATAGTTTGGTTAGCGTTATTGAATGTTACTGTACAAATAGTTTAGACGTTTGTGCATATTGTAGGTCTACATAAAAGTATATAAATTATCGAAGGGAGTATTTTATATCCTCAAATTTTTGGTAAAATATTCATAAAATGTGTAACTTACATCCATACAAGCCGATCTCCTTTTAATAAGCAATTAATTAAAGCGAGGGATTCAATGGCTGATGAATATTTTGCATAAACATTTAGTTAGTAATGTTATCAAAAATAATCTAAAGTATTTAAATTTAGATTGTTAGTTTGAATGGATTAGTGTTCATACAAGGCGAGGGCTTTCAAAGTTTAAGTTTTCTCCGACTTAGAAACCTTTACATCAAGACTAAGTGATATCTAAATATTTTAGTATATTTTTAATTCACAACAATTCTAAGAATTGAAAGTAGTTGGCCAGGCTACTTCTCAAAACTACCGACTTAAATTTTGTCTCGTGAATCATTTGGTATGTTCTTAAGTAGTATTTTGCTCTAATAGAAAACAATGTAAGTAAATAACGTTAAATGACTAAACCAGGCATCCATTATTTTCTTCTCTAATTGTCAAACGAAGCTCTGTCAACTTACAGATGGCAGGCAGAACATGCGTTCATAAATGTCGACCCAAAATCCTACAGACTCACATCAGTAACAGCATTGACAGAGCGAAAGCATCAGCTCTATTTTAAACAAACCGCCTGGTTTTTATTTAATTAACTCGTTCAGTACTTATGCTAGTGTCTAGTAATAAGGGATAATCCTTAATAGTTATTTGTTAAAAAACTTTTTCACAATATGTTGATGTATCATAGAGATAGTATCTCAAGGCGCCCAAGCAGACAAAGTAATTTGAGGGTAGGGTCACAATTAGGGCACTTGTTTTATTGTTTTCTTTGATAGTTAAACGCCCAGACATAAAATACTCAAAATTGCGTTATTTAAACTCAAACACAGGAGCAGAAATCCGCCGCCTACAAGTTTTTGTACAAACTTTTTTATACATGATAAAGACACATTGCAGCTATATAATGGTTGTGGCACGAATGGCTCGGCTCGACCGGAAAAGGACCACGCTCTCACAGAATACCAGCGTAAAGTAGCAGCTTAAGGTTGGTGTTTCGTATATTGAGTGTAGAGGAGATCGTTGTTACTGGTAATGAAGCATTCCATCTTAGTTCTCAGGGGTGACAATGCATTTGCATTTTGATTTTTAATCGAGGATTGATGTAGATATCTATAGGCCACAACGTCCACTTACCATCAGATGGACTGTGTACTCGTTTGTCACCCTTATTATATTAAAAAACCTCCTAGTCTGCTAATGTAGTTTGAAATAACCTATATCAAGTAGTGGATAGAAAAAAAAAACCTGGGTAGAAGAAATAATACTCACTTTGACAAGTAGTGATGGGCGGCATACGAAAACCACCGAGTGGATCCGGTGGAAAAGGGAAGGGCCGTTGACCAAACGCGAAGTGGAACTGCTGCTGCTGCCCTAGGAGAGATAACACTAAATCAGTACGATACAGGCTGCCCTCAGCTATTAGCATTATAGAAGGTGACATGCAAATGGTCTTTATGATTATTATAAATAACATTGTAGTCTTTGCGGTAAGAATATTGTTGTAATTATGTGATGTGTATACATTATTTCACAAGCAATACCCTGCACAATACCCCCGCTTTTATTATTACGTTTTGACATGCTCAAGGACCATAAGCGTATTATTTGTTAAAATTCCTTGTTTCCTGTTATTATTCGTCGTGTAATGGCTGAACCATGCCGTGGGTGTCGTAAGAATGATAGGGGGAAACTTAAAAAAGGATCGGCTGCAGTGTCTTCTTTAGTTTTAGCTGATAATAAAAAAAACTGTGGTTGCCAACGTGCCTGTCAAGCGTGGCAAATACGGTAAAATTCTCGAAACAAAATGCAGGGGAGGTCTATGGTCAGCACTGGATTATTTATAATTAATGAAAAAAGGACTTTAATTAATGTGTAACTCTCGTCCAACCTACTTGTAACTTAGGAGTAGCTTTCGTACGTTACGTTACGTTCTCCTCTTTTTTAATTAAGGCTTTATTTCAAAATATGGATGCCTTAAGCGCAAAGCGCGTAGGTATGTTCTTCTAGAGCCGAAAAATCAGGAATCCAACGTTTTGTCGCATGAAATCGTATCTAACAACCTTATTTAACATATAAATGATATAAAAGCTCATTGTCAGAAAGAATAATCATTGTCGAACGGAATTGATTTTTTTTTAATTTATTGATTGCTATTTTACATTAAAAACTAGTTTTCGTGGCTTATGGTGTAGGTTTATCAAGTTCACATGGAGAGGTAAACATAATAACTTTTGAAAATATGAATTGTTCAACTCAATCTATGTTTTAATCTCTTCATATATCATGTGAGAAGCCATGGAATGTAAATGGCTGTTTAATTTTGTTTTGTTTAGTTATAATTAATTTTTTTCGCCAATAAATTCCAAAATTTTCAGTGTCTTGAGCAGCCTTGTAATAATATACATATACATAATACATAAACACTCACGCCTGTCACCCAGAGGGGTAGGCAGAGACTACAGACTTCCATTTGGCACGATCCTGACACACCTCTCTTGCCTCCTTCACATCCATACACCTACGCATACATGCTCATCGGTTAAGGGTACTCCTAATTTGGCCCGTTTTCAATAAATCGCCAATTTGGTCGATAAATTTTCGCCTAGGACGTCCCTTTCCGACTCTGCCATTCACTTCTGCACCATAAATTTTCTTTGTCACTCTTTCCTCATTCATTCTTTCCATGTGGAACCAAACCACCGAAGCATTCCTTTCTTAATCCTGGTCACAACATCATCTTGCAAACCACACTCTTCTCTTATTACACAATTTCTTACTCTGTCATTCAGATTCAGCACTAACATACTCCTTAACGACCGCATTTCTACTGCGTTTATTCTACTCTCGTGCTTCTTATGCCACACCCAACTTTCACTACCATACATTAAAGTAGGGACCAACACAGCATTGTGAATTGCCATACGTGCCTTTTTCGACACATTTTGACTCTTCACAATAGAGTGCAAGGCCCCATTTACTCTATTTCCCGCATTCACTCGTCGTTCTATATCCTTATCATATCTCCCATCCCTGCTAAATACGCAGCCCAAATATACAAACTCATCTACTTGCTCGATCAACTCCCCTTCTATTCTTATTTCACAAATCGTTTTACTTTCTTCTCTTTCAAAAACCATAACCTTCTTCTTACTTGCGTTCACTTTCATACCCCTTTCTTTTAATGATCCGTTCATTAATGTAACCATCATTTGCAACTCGGCCGCGGACGACGCAAGAATAACTTGATCATCGGCGTACAAAAGCATTTGACGGTTAACTCACCCATTCTTAATCCGCATTCTTCAACTTTCAAATTTTGCAAACAACTGTCCATAAATAGGTTGAACAGCCAAGGGGAAGCCACACAGCCCTGTCTGACACCTTTATGGATGTCAAACCAGTCCGAGTAGACCCCGTTGATCCTAACACAAGCACTAGAGTCCCTATAAAGAGACTCCAATGCCTGTATCAAGCCAGCGCTCAACCCAAATGAGTTCAGTGTTTGCCATAGCACATCCCTATCCACTCTGTCATAGGCCTTTTCCAAGTCCATGAACGCACAAAAACCTTTTGGTTTTTGGCCAGAAACTTCTCCGCGATCATGCGCGAAAACACTTGATCTGTACATCCCATTCCCTTTCTAAATCCCGCTTGCACTTTCCAAATTTTTCCATCAGTTTCTTTCATGACCCTTTCAATCAGTACCTTAGCATACAGTTTTCCCACAATGCTAAGAAGGCTGATGCCACGGTAGTTTTTACAGTCCTGCTGCGATCCTCTTCCTTTATATACTGGGACTATCACGGCTTTGCACCAGTCTACCGGTACCCGCTTCAGTTCAAAGCATAAATTAAACAAGGTGTGCAGCAGGACTGCCCCCACTTCCTCTCCAGCCCTTAGCATTTCGAGTGAAACTCTATCATATCCGGCAGCCTTACCTACTTTCATGCTTTTCATTGCTTTCATTATTTCGTCTATACTTATCTCGCTACCTCTTTCCTCTTCTTTCGGAGTTTCTACTTCACTTAGTACACACGTTGTCTCCTCACTCATAAACACGCTTTCAAAATATTCCTTCCATCTCTTTAAACTCAAAACTTCATCATTCAGAATATAGCCATTCTCGTCTCTTATAGCATTCATCATAGGCTGTTTTGAATGTCCCCTGGCAGTTCTTACAAGTTTCCAGAACATTTTAATATTTGCCTGGAAGTTATCCGATATTCT